ACACCTTCTCCGGGAGGTAATTTGGAAGCGTCTTAACCAAACTGACGCATGCGTAGAACTCCGCCAGTAATGACTCCCTTGTAATTTCCACCCATTAGATCTAGTCTTGCAATCCGGAGCAAGAGAGAATAGATCCGCTCCATCTTCTACATGACAGCCCTTCAGATACTGGAAGACTGCAATCATGTCCCCTCTAAGCCTTCTCTTTCCCAGGCTAAACAGACCCAACCCTTTCAGCCTTTCCTCATAAGACTTGGGTTCCAACCCTCTCGCCATCCTGGTTGCCCTCTTCTGGACACGCTCGAGCTTGTCAACCTCCTTCCTAAAATCTGGTGCCCCAAACTGGACACAGGACTCCAGGTGAGGCCTGACCATAGCAGAATAGAGCGGAACGACCACCTCCCGCGATCTGCACACAATGCTTCTGTTAATGCATCTTTAATGCCAGTAGCTCACAAAGTAGAATTTTTGCTCACAAGACTCCGCAGCTTAGAGGGAGCATTGCTGGTTAGTACTTGGATGGGAAACCAGCCAGGAAGCCCAGGGTCACTACGCAGAGACAGGGAGGGGCAAGCCACCTCTGAACGTCTCTGGCTTCGAAAACCGCAGCCAGTTGCCCTGAGTCAGCTGTGACTTGACAACACTTTCCACCCCCACCTTTTGGCTTGGGACTGAGACTTGGGGGGCTTGACCCCCTGCTTTACAGCCCTCTTCAGCTATAGAAGGGAACATGCCGGGGAGGGGTTTTCCTCCATTCTGTCCCCACAACAACCTGTAAGACTGGCTGGCTGAGAAAGAAGGCAACTGCCTCCACGTTCCCCCCCGTGAGCTTTCTGGTGAAGCAGGGAATTTGAACCCAGGTCTCCACCTCTCCAGTCCAGCCAGTTCCTGGGGCAGCATGAAGCCTAAAGACGTTTGCATATATTAGAAGAAGAGGAGGAGGAGATTGGATTTATACCCCACTACCTGAAGGAGTCTCAGAGCGGCTTACAAACTCCCTTCCCTTCCCCTCCCCACAACACACACCCTGTGCGGTAGGTGGGGTTGAGATAATTCTTTTGAGGACTGCTCTTTTCCAAGAACAGCTGTGCCAGAACTACGGCTTGCCCAAGGTCATCCAGCCAGGTGCAAGTGGAGGAGTGGGGAATCAAGCCCGGTTCTCCCAGATTAGAGTCTGCGCACTTAACCACAACACCAAACTGCACCTTGTAGCCCCTCTAGCTTTATTATTACTGTTTACAGAATTTATACCCTGCCTTTCTGTCCTTACAAGGTCCGCGAAGGAGGCTAACCATTTAAAAGATACATGATAATATTACGTTATAATAAAAAGCATAAGAACATACATCATCAAAGCAACTTTTAAAATAAGAGTTTTAAAAACTGTCTCTCCACAACTGGAAGGAAAGCTATGGCAAATCTAGACAGCATAACAAAAAGTAGTGACATCACTCTGCCAACAAAAGTCCCTATGGCCAAAGTAATGGTATTGCCAGTAGTAATGTATGGCTTTGAGAGTTGGACCATAAGGAAGGCCAAGTGCCGAAGAATAGATCCTTTTGAATTATGGTGCTGGAGAAGACTCTTTAGAGTGTCTTGGACTGCAAGGAGATCAAATCAGTCAATCCTAAAAGAAATCAACCCTGACTGTTCCCTGGAAGGCCAGAGACTCAAATGGCCACCCAATGAGAAGGGAGCACTCACTGGAGAAGACCCTGATGCTGGGAAAGACATAAGGTCAAAGAAGAAGGGGACGGCAAAGGATGAGATGGTTAGACAGTGTCATAGATGCAACGAACATGAAATTGAGCAAACTTCAGAGGACAGCGGAAGACAGGAAGGCCTGGTGTGATGTGGTCCAGGGGGGGGGGTCACAAAGAGTCGGACTCGACTGTGCGACTGAACAACAACAACAAACCACAACTGAAAATTAAGATTGTACAGTGGTTGTGGCAGAGCCCTTCCTATCTGCTTGGTGGGAGCATATTTAGTATTGCTAGTAGAATCCTGTTGTGCATGGAGGCCTGGCGATTCCTCAAACTCTTGGGGGAGATGGAAAATCTCATTTGCTACTGTGCCTTGAGGTTATCTAACTGGTGGGTCCCAGTTCAGGTGTGTGTGGCAGTGGGGAGGGGAGAGTTTGGATCATACCAAGTTTTCCACATTTCCTAGTGTGAAAAGATGCTTCACGATTCTCGTCTAGAGCACAGAAGCACCTTAAAGACTAACAAAATTTGTTGCAGGGTATGAGTTTTCAAAAGTCACTTGTGCCTGTCCGGCTGCCACAAATTTTGTTAGCCTTTCAGGTTTTCTACTACTACAGACAGACTAACAGGGCTACCCATCTTGATCTAATTCTTGTCTAGTTTTTCACGAAGAGAGGAACTGTGGAGAACGGGGCATTAGCAAAGTGGTAGAGCCTCTCCTTTGCATGCAGGCGTTCCCAGATTTAATCCTCAGCATCTCCAGTCAAAATGGAACACACACGCACAAGATTTAAATCGCCCCAGTTGTTTGGCATGAAAATGAGGACGCTATTTATGAAATCACTAAGAAAAAGGCTTCATTTGAGTCCCAAATTAAATGCAGGGAACAGCCAGGGATCCAAAGAGTCAAGATAAAAAGTGCTCCAGAGTACAAGCGGAGAGTCCTGACATCACAACCAATGCTCCCTCTAAGCTGTGGAGTCTTGTGAGCAAAACTTCTACTTTGTGAGCTACTGGCATTAAAGTTGTGAGCAAGCAATTTGGC